CTCTTACCACAAAAGCAAACAATCTAAATATCTAAATCTGTAAAATTTCCTTATCACTTACCAATATGACTAAAAATAAAATATGATTTAATCTAAGATTAAGTAAACCCAAAGCAAAGTAGGAAAATTATTATTTTTGATTGACTTATTTCACTATACTTTTTTAAGGTTTGCTCTAATTTTTGATTTTGTGTAATATTTTAAATCAAAAAATATGCAGACTTCAAATAGATATATTTCTGATATTCTCAATACTTCGAAGAATTCAAAACAGCCAGAATAGATAATTTAAAATTCTGCCCATCAAGATTATATGTATACTTATGTAAATTAATGTATTGCGTTATATGACTTGAAAATTTAATTTCAGGACTAAAAAAAATCGTTTAATATAGTATTAACAAATCACCAATTTTGACAATGTCAATATTATTTACTTGGGTACAATTACACTTACTTTGATGTTTGAAATATGACAACAGATTACTTTTATTTTTATTTCTTTAAATATTTCAGAAAAAAAAAACTGATTTACTTGACTTAAAATACTTCTTTTTGAATTTATAAGAGTGATAAAGCAATTATAAAATCAAATAATGGAAATCAAGACGACTGCAAAATTCAAGAAAATGTATATGGTTTACCAATAGTAAAAAAGAAACCAAAATCGATTCCCTCATTGATCAGTGGTAGTTTCTGACTATTCCTAACTAGGTGAAATGGGAATATATGTAATTGATTAATTAAACCCATTTTATAGAAAAAAAAACCAACATATTTCTTACAATTTAAGTACTCATATCTTATTTAAAATTACGAATAAGTATAGTATATGTTTAGTATGATATGGTTTGTAAATTATAAAATACAATTTTAATTTTATTTCAAATACTTTTCAAAATAAATATTATAATTGGGCATTTTAAAACATAACATTAAGTTATTTCCGTGGCTCATAGATTTAAGTTTTGAAAATTTGCAATTATCATCGAAGCATTAGTAATATTCATTTATACATGATACATATCTATACTTAAAAAATAAGCACTAAAGTATGAATACTGCACATATTATCGACTAAAAAAAATTAATTTATAATCTAACATTGTTAAAAGTCTAAAACAAGAACATGTGCACGTACTTATCAACATATTAAAATTACATTAATCATAAATAATAATTCAATTCAAATTCAATTCTTATTTCTTTTTAAAAAAAAAAAAACATTTTCATAATACTTATTTCTGTTTACTCTTAATTTGAAAAGAAATTACTCCTTTGGTGGATATTATACGAAAGTTGTTCATTCTTTCTTGCGTTTGAGTCGAACAATGCGTATGAATTAATCTTAACGATGGAAATTATTTTACCACTGAAGCGATCATTGTTGGTATATTAATTGTGCCATCTTACATAGCTTGAAAACAGATATATTTAAGCTTATTTCAGAAAAATAGTTCATAATTCAATGAGTCATTTTTTGACTATTTCGTTTTAGGTTTACCATGTATAATATTTCTTTTAATGTTTAAAAATAATTATCTATATCTTAACATTTTTTCAATACATTAAATGGACATTTTTTTTACGAAACAATTAATTTTTGTAGTGTTAAGTAAATTAAAATATAGCAATTTTTTAAACAACTAAATACGAATATCGATATGAGATTTGATGATATAAATAATTGTAATGTAGAAAATACTGTAATAATTTTATTTTTCCATGTTTGTTTTACAATTTTTACAAAAAGTTCATTATATGAGAGTTTTCAGATGTTGATGATCGTTTACTAAAAATATTGTCTTTACCTTGTATACAATTGTATAAAAAAAAAGTATTTTTCCACAAGAATATAAAATATAAACATTATTTTAAATTAATACTAAAAGTTTTAAATTTTATTAAATTTAATTTAATATTTATTTAATAAATATTAAACAATTCATCAACAAAACGAGAAGATAACATTTATTTATTAAATCTTATCTTATCTTACTTTTATATTAAGATACAACGTATGTTTGTTTGATTGTTCGCAATAATCTCAAAAATAACTGGACAGATTTTAAAAATTCTTTCATCATTAGAATGTTAAATTATCCCTGAGTAACATAGACTATATTTTATCACCTTATATGTTCTATTTATTTGTGGAATAAATTAAAGGCAAGTAAAAGAGAAACTCTAAAGCATGGGTTCTCAACCTTTTGAGGCCCGCGTCCCCTTTAAAACTATTTTATGAGTTCACATCCCACCCTCTCACTAATATAAGATTGATGTATGCATAATATTTATATGTAAACTATATTTTAATATATTGGTTATTGGATTAATAAGAATACAACTTCAATGAAGTTTTTCTAATATTAAATTAAATTATTTGCATAAAAAAAAAAATCGAAAACGGAGGCGACCAACACAGCGGCAAGGCACGGCATAGAGAACGGCAACGTTATCATTTTTTGTGTTTTTTTTTCAACATTTTTACGTCTTCCGTAAAATGTTGTCACGCCTCCATAGGAGAGCGTCCCCTCAAGATTGAGAACCACTGCTCTAAAGGAATAAGTATAAATGGAGAAAATATTCACTGTATACGTATTGCAGATGATATTGCTTTAGTGCCTGAATCGGAAAAAGATATGCAAAAATCTCTAACTACCCTCACTAAAATATTGCAGGAGAGTCAAATGAAAATAAATGCAAATAAAACAAAAACAATGGTGGTGATTAAAACAAAATAAATTCCTTTAGTGACATTGGAAATAGATAATAACTTATTAGAGCAAGTTCAACAATTTAACTACCTACGAAGTACGATTACTAGCAATGATAGATGCTCAATAGAAATTAGACAAAGAATATTTATGGCAAAGAGAGCATTTATGCAAAAACGACAGCTACTTACAAACAAAAAACTTAATATAAAGATGAGAAAAAATGTTGACCAATGCTTTGTACTATTATATGGCTTCGAAACATGGACCATCAAAGAAAAAGACAAGAAGTTGGAAGCCATGAAAATATGGACATGGAGAATATCGCTGAAAATTAGCTGGACAGAAATGAAAAGTTACATAGATATACTAAACGAAATAGGGGAAAAAATAATTCTGTTTAACACCATAAAGGAAAGAAGTGGAAAAATGTTCAGTCACCTATTGAGGCACAATTTATTTATGACAAATATATTTGAAAGACAAATAAATGGACTTGAAGGTTGAGCAAGTAGAGGTAGACCAAGGAAAGTATATATAGTAGAAATGATGAGAAAGACTGACTGTAATCGATACATAGACATGAAAATACTGGCTTTTAACAGGGAGTGACACGGTCCGTAGTGGTCGTGGGTACAATAGTACTCCGACCATTACGTATCGCGTGCACTCTCTTGTCCAGCCACGCCAAAGGCCGCGACAGTGCCGACGACAACCTCCCACCTACCACCTTGATAGGTGCTGAGGTGGAGCAGGGAAGCCGCCGGCAACACACGGTGGATCCGCACCGCGGACGAACTCGCTCTCTGCCAACGACCGTAAGCGAGTTAAGTAGAGTCTGGTGCCTTTCGGTTATTTTTTTATTTCGGCCATTGACTGTCTTTTGGTTCTTGTAATTTTTTTACGAACACTAACGTGACACTAATTGTTTTGGCTTTACGGCATTTAAATATATATATATATATATTTATAACATATACATACTGTATATTTATTTATCATAATTTACTCTTGTGTGTGCCACCTCAACACCGCACCACATTGCGAACGGACGGCTGCCCAACACGTACCTCCGTCTCAGGAGGAATGGTGAATCAAATTTGCAACGACAAGGCAAGGCCTTTAGTAGAGAAGAAGAAAATATAAATTTATTATTTATTACAATTAATAACTCTAAATGTTCATGATAATAATATATATATATATATATATATATTATAATCGCATCATAAGATTACATCTCATCTGTATGTATATTATTAATACAATACAAATATATTAACTAATAACTCTTCAAAATATTCAAAATGTATATTCAAGCTATGGACGATGGATATAATTTTAATTACCAAATTTTCAACTATACAGTTTACTCTTTTTACACAATTTTTATTATTTAATCAGCTTTAATCCATTTTTAAATGAATCTAGATATTTAGTGATTTACATTAAAACGAGTGGTTTTATTATACTTTATAAAGATAATAATCGTGCTTTGAGTATATTTCAGAATTTTGGTAAATTACAGTGTAAGCAATGCCCGGGTTTACAAAAGATTATTCCAATATTTTTATGATTACTGTATCCCAACAAATACACTACCTTAACTCTGAATAAAAATATCACGAAATAAAAAAAAAATAGTTCACTGAAGTTGGAAAAACTGTGAACCTAAAGAAGCTTAGTAATTTTATAAATTCATTGGTATTATTAGACGAATTTAAATTTATGAATAATGAATTAAGTTTCTTTTATGAAAATAATTTAACTTATCTTAGCGACAAAATAAAATTAAAATTATTATTAGAGCGCGGATTTCTATGCGATTGCATATTTGTTTCCTTTTAATATTTTTGGATTTTTGTCAGTATTCTCTACGAATCATCATAATTTGAAGCAAATGGTGAAATTTTTTTTTGCATATTTCTGCATATTTCAATGTTATTGCATAATTTTGCATATTTAGGCAAAATTAAAAATGTATTGAATATTTATTGCATATTGAAGCAAAAATTTAAAAAAATGTATAAAATAATATTTTGTCAAGTAGAAAAATTAAAAATATATTTTATGGGCAACTTAATCGCTCTTGCTCTGTCAGTCGGTTATCGTCGTTATCGACATACCACTCTGTTACATCGACGATTAGAAAATAATTGATTACTATGTACTTTTGTGTCTACCTATAATCTTAATACATCTTGCTGTATCAGTCAACTATCGACATACCACCGACTCAATAAATTCAGTTTCATCGTTTGTCGTTGTCCGTAAATTGTTAACATGCCGAAAATAAGTAGTTCGATTTGCAACAAAATGCAAGGATGGATTTCTTCAGCAAACCAAGACACCGAAGTTTTCACTACTGACAGAAAAATAGTATTTTGCAATCCTTGTGGAAAATCTATTGTTTGTGAGAGAAAGTCTCAGGTAGATCAACACATAAAAACAGGTCAGTACTTATACAAATAGAAATATATTTTGTTTATTTATTTTTTATATTTTTTATTTTAGCTGCCCATGTGTCTGCACTTAAAAATAAGTTATCAAAACAACAATTAATTACAAATAATTCTAGATCAAGTTCTACTAATAACATTTTTTTTGAAGATTTATGTTTTGCTATGGTCTCTTCTGACATACCCTTACACAAGTTAAAAACCGAACAGTTTCGTAATTTTTTGAATAAATACATTGATCATCCTATACCAGATGAAAGTACATTGCGAAAGACCTATGTAAATATATGCTATCAAAAAGCAATGAATGAAATTAAAGAAAAAATTGGGAAAAACTTTATTTATATTGTTGTTGACGAGACAACTGATACACGGGGCTTATACATTGCAAATTTACTTGTAGGAGTTATGAATAAAAACTTTTCTGGGAAACCATATCTTTTAGCATCTAAACAATTGGAGAAAACAAACAATGAAACGATTACCCGATTTATCAATGACTCCTTAAAGTTATTATGGACAGATGTAGGAATGGAACAACGTGTATTACTTTTATTAACAGACGCAGCGTCATATATGGTGAAAGCAGGGAAGTCTTTAAAGATATTTTATACTAATATGATCCATGTAACGTGTACCGCTCATGCTTGTAATCGTCTTGCAGAAAAAGTAAGGGAGTTATTTCCAAAAGTTAATACTTTAATTAATAATGGGAAGAAAATATTTTTAAAAGTGCCGAGTCGAATCTCTATTTTTAAAGAAGAAATGAATGATATCCCTTTACCACCTGTTCCAGTTCTTACAAGGTGGGGAACATGGGTAAATGCTGCGTTATATTACGCAGATTATCTTACCAAGTATAAAAAAAATATCGAGAGACTGGCAATGGATGATGCGCAAAGTATTAGAAAAGTTTTGAATATAATTGAAGATGGTACTGTTGTCAATGATTTAACATTTATATCAACACATTTGGCATTTTTAGTGATAGTCATAAAAAAACTGGAAACTCAAAATATGACTTTACATGAAAGCTTTTCAATAATTGACGAAACCAAAGAAAAAATTAATTCTATTCCTGGGCCAAAAGGTGCAACACTTACTACAAAATTAAATGAGCTTTCCAATAAAAATAAAGGTCTGGAAATTCTACAAAAAATAAATGCAGTACTATCAGGCGAAAACGTTCAGCTCGAAGATGTTTATCAAGACCCGAAAATAATAAGTTGCTTCAAATATGCCCCAACAACTTCGGTTGACGTCGAACGTTCGTTTTCAGTATTTAAAAATATGTTAACTGATAAACGTCATAGCTTCACTAAAGAAAAACTTGAAATGCATATGATCATTCATTTTAATAGTAAATAAAATTAAAAAAATTTAAAGAGAAATTTATATAAGTATTTAATATTTTAGTATTTAAGTAATTAATTGTTATAAGAAGTTTAATTTGTAAATTGTAAATAAATTAAAAAAATGAATTTCATGATTTTTACTGCATATTTTTGCATATTTTCATGATTTTTACTGCATATTTTTTGCATATTTTCATGATTTTTACTGCATATTATATGGCATATTTTGATACTTTTTAGTGCATAAAAATCCGCGCTCTAATTATTATATATAAACATAATACTATATAAATGTATAACAGATGTAAATATTCTTGTCGAATTAGAGACATTTTATAATTAGTTTTTAATCCATAAATAATAGTAACCAACTAAGTTGAAATACTTGTAAATTTCAAAATCAATAGTACGAATTTTGTAAAAAATTTTAAAACGGTATACTAGATTTTTATAAATCCATAAGAACGGTAACTTCAAGAACTACAATTTTGATAAGAATTATTGAATATTTTCTGTTAACTTACCTTTTTAACAAATATTAAACACAAATAATTCGTAATTAAATCACAAAATATTCTTGTTTGCACGATTTTCAGTGAATAGTTTATTTTATTTGAACCTTGATAAGTATATTTTACTATAGTAACTTTTATAAGGGAACATATGGGTTTTTTAAATTTCAAAATTTCAAGGATTGAACCATTAGACTTTTTTTTCCACTGATGTATATTTAATTATGTCAATCAAATATCACTTATATTAATTCTTATTTGAAAAACAAATTTTAAATTTTAATTCATACTCGGCCCTAATGTATTTTTTGTGCATTATTTATCGTATTTAATTTTAGAATTGTCATCGTAACTTAACTAACCACTGCAAGCATCAATGATTTTTCTTTTATTCATCAACTAATTAAAAACGATTTCAAGAAAATTGTTAAGTGCATTACATTATATTCATATAAAAATCAATAATTCATTAATATTATAATTTTACATGATATTCATGTATGTTATTCTATATATTAAATCACATAACTTTCATCAAATTATGATATGTTTTTATTTTAAAATAAAATAAATTAGTTTAAAACGGATCAAATACTATTATATTTCCGGTAAGTCCCACTGTACAATTAAGATACGTTAAATATAATAACTTATTAATCTAATAACTGTAATTTCCTACAGCACCTCCAGTCTATTACATTAAAAGGGATTTGTATTAATATAAAACCCAGCAGCGTGGCATGCACGTTAGAATTGTTAGTACTTCAGACAAAAGATAAAGTTAATAATGTTATTTTGCATATTATTATTGTTATTATTATTGTAATTTTTACTATTTTTTAATATTTCTTTTTACTTTTAATAATAACAAAACAATTAAAATTATTAAGAATATTAAATAAAAATATCTTCACAAACACAACAATGTTATATTCGATGGCCGTCGTTTTTGATGGTGTGGAATTTATTTTCATCAAATTAACACTAGGTATTTTCGCGTCATGATTACGTGTAACATATTTTGAAATTGTTAACATGAGCTCATATATACGATATACATTCAATGTCGCAAAGGAAATCTCCTTTTATCCACTATTTGTAAGCGCTTATGATTTTGCATATATCACTGTACCACATGGTTTATTTACAAATGGATGGAGGAGTATAGTTGTTCGTATTACTTTATATAAAAGAACCACTACTGTGCAATTTAATTATTCAAAAACAATATTTTTTCTGTGATGAATTAATTGAAGCCTATACCAAAAATCCAAAAAAAAAAAAGAATTTATTTTTTGTATATTTATATTATATTTATTATATAGTTAGTAGTTAAACTTAGGTTGATTAAATGAAAAAGAGTTTTAGATATTCTTTTTTTCTAATTGAAAGTAGTAAACTGTAAACTTATTAATACATTTTCAATAAGTATACAATTTTTTCGCTTAAATTTTCTTGACACTCACATAACTTCAACGAATGAAATCTTTAAACAAAAATTCTTAGTGGCTGCAATTTTTTCCGCTATTCGGAAATTTATGTTATTCGGAGAGGCTTCGGGGGGTGAGAGATAAATTGTAGTCTTACGTCACTTAAAATTACATGTATTTAATGCATTTTTAATTATTTTCAACTGTTGAATCACATATGTTTTTACTATATTAAAATTTATAAGAGAAAAATAAGATATATATAAAAAATATAATTAATAATAATAATGAAAATAATAATAATTGAATTTAACTAGTTTCAAACCTTGCCGTTATTTCATAAGTCAAGTATTTTTTTTAGTTTAAATAAGGAGTAAAACGATGAAATATTCCCTACCTTAATCAGATAATTCAACTACACTATACATAAACCAGACAAATATTTCCAATGACATTGTAACATTTTAACGTCTGTATGTTTATAATAAAATACAATAATGGTTCAATTAACTTAACAGTTGTGAGGAATATTATAAAAATTAAAATAATATAAACTATCTGTTATTTAGAGATTTTCTTATAGTAAAGAAATCTCAATGTCACCCTTCTCAGAAAATTTCTGCTATTTAGTGATATTTTTCTGAAAAAATTTACCATGCATAAATTATTTCAATATTTATACCCACCTTTAACTTAAAATATCATGCTATGTAACTGAAAGCTATTCAAAAATATAGTTGCCATTTATTTCAAAGCGTTTTTAACTTCACTCCAACTTAATCAAATATTTACGTATTAAAAAAAAAAAATTATATTGGTCACAAGAAAATTGTATTCTTTACTTAGTTCAATACGAAAATCTATCAACAAAAGTGTTTAAGTGTACTATTTTGTATGTAAATTAAAATTCTTTGCCATTTTATCATTATATGAAAGAAAAGTATTTATAAATTTGTAATAAATGTAACAATGCCGTTGGTAATTCATTTTTTTCTGTACACTTTACGTTTTACTTTTCACACTCTTGTAATTTTAATTAGTTATCCGTTTAAACAATGCATAAAGTATACGCTATATAAATAACAGGACCATTTTAATATATTTTCAAGAGTAGCTATTAATTTAGATTTTAATATATTTTACAAACATAAAAATGCAACAGTATAAATTTCTAGTTTGAATTTAACATTTTATCATTAATATTATTATTAAATCATCAATATGAAAATATTTAAAAAATAAAGTTTATAATAGTAAAAAATAATTCAATAAAAAGTGTGTTGATTTAAAATAATAAGTTTGAATGGAGAAAAAACACGATAGTTACTTATTTTGATACTAAATTCTTAATTTCATCGCAGATAAGTGTCGATGATTATGTAATAGTGCAATTTTTCAAAGCTAATAGGTAATTAAATGTATTTATAACGGATCGTAACATAAATTAGATTACTTAATGCCTGAATATATTCACACTTTTGAGTTACATCATAGATTTCATATTAAACATATAGGTATAACTCAATCACATTGTTAACATTTATAGAAATAACAACCATTATTATTTATGGTTCTATGTAAACCTGATTTTATCAAGTTAAATACAGAGAATTGCAGCAAAATCTAGTAGCTACGTTCACGTAAATGCTAATAATTTTAACAACAGGTTGACGTAACCACTTATGCTATAGTCAAATATTGTATTATTTTATTGAATACAATACTTGTTTATGTGAATACTTTGTTTTTAAGAGGTAATCAATTAATTTAAGTATTGCATCTACCTTGTAAGTAGTTTTATTAATTAAATTAATATTATATTTTCATGTATACTTCATTCAAATAATTTAAAATATTATATTTTATATTCATCTAAGAACAAACACAATGACAATGATTCTAAGGACAATTATAAAATTAATTACTTAACTGAAATAATAAATATATTTTTACTTATCGTCTTCCTGGATTTATAATCATTAAATGAACACATATTTAAAATTCCAAATCGAAACGACACAGACAAATATATTACTTATGTTATTTTTAATTTAATTCATAACTATTAAAACTTTATGTTTTTGTTTTTTTAAAGACATTAATGTTTTAAAAGTAAAGTTTGAAATTTCAGCAAAAAGGTACCAGGAATGTGAGCTTATATTCTGAAAACGATTTAATTTCTAAGTGTGTTATTGTTTATATTTTTTAAGCGTACATTCAATAAAAAATAAAAATATCTGATATTTTGAAATAGATAGTTAATTTATGATTTTACTTAAGAAAAATTAGTTAATTTATTTTAAATAAAAATACAACTGTTGAAAACAGATTAAATATGTTTTTCAAATTAATCGTACATTAATGCCTAAGAACTAGATTGTGTTAAGTACAATAAATGTTTATTTTCAAGATTATATAGCTCAATATAATTACTAAATGAGACAACGTTTAAGTGCAAAAAAAAACCCAAATATACATCAAAAAAATATATTAAATATATACGCTTTGATAAACGTAAACAAATATAATATATATCAACTTTAACGGTAATTATGAGTCAAAATTACCAACTGTTTTAATGTTACCAAAATTAATAATTTTGACAAAACATATAATTGGTCCATCGAGAATAATTTACAAGTTGAATAAAAAGGTATTTTCCATTTTAGAAGTATTGATATAAAAATATAATTTACATCCTTAGCAAAACTATTAATTTAACTCTTAATAAGTATATTTTTCCCTCAAAAACTGTTTAATGTAGTAAAAGTACTCCATTTGTTATACATAACATATTTAATAAAATTTAAAATTAACACATATGGTACTTAAAGGGGTAATTTTTGTGTACTTATAGTATTGTTCTTAAAACTACAGTGTAACGTGAAATAATAAGAAAAATCATATGAAGAAATCTGTTCATAGTAATATTTTTTTTTTAACATTTATTTTAGAAAATATACAATCTGTAAGGGTAAAATTTACAATAAACATATGTTCAGTGTATGTATTTTTTTCTTACATGAATTTATATGAATTTAAGAAACCACCCAACAGTAGTACTTATGACGTAATGGACTTAAATGTATGGCTTATTTGAACTTATACAATTTATAATAAAATACTTATAACTTTTTTTTTTAATTTTTTTTTTTTCAGAGTAATATAAAAAAACTTCATTATTCTTTTTTCAAAACACATCAATAAAATAATAAATTAAAAATTTTTTTAATATTTCTGATTAACTATTTGGATCTTCAATAATAGTTCTCAAATTTATCTTGATATGAACGAGGAACATCTAAATTTTGACTTAAAATGTACAATCATAATTATGCGCATTGAATTGTATGCCAGTGGCATAGTGGCATATAAAAATTATTGTACTTTTACTTTCTACTTTTTTTTAGTATTCAACCTTTAAGGTTGGTTTTACAATTGAATATGCACCCTCCACTCTTCTCTGTTCTTAAGTAGCCTTTTCAGTTCGGTATAACTTGTTAGTCCAACCTTGGACTTTTGTATGACAAATGAAGTTCTCAACAATTTAATTACAATCCACAAAAAATTAAAAACCTCTGAAAACATCGATAGATATTTTTATTGATTATAAATACTAGCATTTATAATCAATGATATTTTACAAGCAATTAAATTATAAAGGATCTCGATTTTAATTGATTTCACCAATATTTCATTTCATGGTCTGATGAAAATTTATTTTTAAAGCACATATAAAAATATACATACTGTATTTTAGATAAGATTATTTTTTCATTTACAATTATTTTAAAATAAATTGTAAATTGTATCATATATTTTATGAAATTACCTTAAATACAAGTACAATAAAAATTGAATAAAGGAGTCCCTAAAAATATTTTTCCTGATTCAAAAACAATTAATCAATATTTCAAAAAAATGAATATGGTAATATAATACCATTCAGTACCGAAATTATCAAAACTAAACAAGTTAAAAATCAAAATTCTATATCCTGTTTTCACATTTCTCTCAATTTTGTCAGTATAATGTTACATAAATATCGATTACATTTTTTTTTTTATAAATTCAGTAACAAAATAAGTAAAAAAAACTAAGAACAAAGAAATAAATATTAGATGTAGAATACGATTAAATATAAAAATAATTTTTTAGTGCATAACATGAAATGCACTCCACGCTCTGCTCAGAATTTAAAACAAAAAGACAGCAGTAAATGGAGAGCAGTGGACATAACTGCTGGCACGAGATATATACATCTTAGCGTAAGCCTTTGCTGACAGCAAAATGTTAGCCTTAAAATTTGGACACATTTTCATGAAGTCAATAGAAATTAAATTGTTTTCGGTGTTGTTGTGTTTAAATTTCTTAAAATCCGTTTTATAAATTAATTATCCATTATCCATACCAAGATTTTTTGAAAAATGTATTTCTAACGAACTACTCGTAAAACTGTACGTATAAACTACAATAAAGATTGTAACATATTTTGTTACTCACGATACTCAATGACAATAACCAATAACTGAAAATTTTAAGAAAATCTGTTATCAAAGTATGAATATTTAATTTTGAAACAATGTGTCGCATTGAGTAGTTTTTTTTTCTCAATCTTAAGATTGGTTTTACCAAATGTAATTATAATCAATACAAATGTTGAGTTATTAACAAAACAATGTATAACGATTCGAATAATACCAAATATTAAACATAGGTTAAAATTATTAAAACATAAGGGAAGGACGGTGTATGTCGATCACCTGTGGGAAAACCCTTATATTCTACAAATTATAACTCTGAAACTGGAATCAATTCTCAATATGGATTTATAAACTTATAATCTACAGCATATACTCGTATGGATTCGAAATTTTTTAATGCATAATTTATATTTTATTTTAATTTGTTTTAAAAAACTACAAATGACCGGTATTACACTAACTGGAAGGTATTACCGGTCATGTTTGAAATATATGTAAATAGATAAGAAAATTAATTTTTTTTTTTTTTTAAAAACATGTTAATTTTTTTTTTAAAAAAAAAAAAAAAAAAAATTGTTCTCAATTTATTATATTAATAAATAAATAAAATATTTTCAATTTAATAAGCTGTATTATTGAAATGTTTGGCAATGAGTATTTAACATTAGATAAATCATTAACATTAGGTTTCGTAGATATTTATCCTAATAAATAATAAAATTGACTAAACCAATAGTTCTTATTCAATTAAAATTTAACTTTTTAATACCTAGTTCAATTATATAACATAGTACACTTTGGACCTACATACTACCCACACAGAATGACAAGTGAACTTAAAAACCAATAAATGTAGGTAATAAAAATAAATAATATAAAATTTTTAATATACGAACAAAACCAGTCACATATATAATTTTGAAAGTGATCAGTAGGCTTAGGGACTTATAGCTCTAAAGTATATACAAATATGCATGCAAATATGCTTCTAAATTCATTAAAATAAGCATTATAATATGCATTTATATGCATTAAAAAAAAAAAAAAAAAAAATGACCACATAGTACACAAAATAAAACATGTCCAGGATTTAAATATATCTTTAAACTCCGAAATAAAACTTTGTAGTCGGTTACTCGTAGACTGTTGTACTTTTGGCATTAAACAATGTTACAAAATATATGTGTACAACGTTCTACGTATCATTCGACGTTCTATGATTGCGAGACACAAAAACGATGGATAATAATCGACTGAACTGAACAATTAACAAATAATCTATTATTCTATATCGATTATTATCTTTATCGACATCCGGTCAATATCCAGCGGGTTATACGGTCGATACGACAATATAGTATTATTTATATTTACACAAAAATTATAACGAGATATGAGAGGTAGTTTTCCAATAACATATTACTGGAAGTATTAAGTCCTCTTAGTAAGTTTTTTTTTTCGATAGGTGGAAATATGTATATATAGTAATATGTATCTATAATTTTTAATTTTAAATTAGAACAATTTGTCAAAATATGCAAAATAAGCATAACAATTTTAAAATATGCACTCTCCTGTATAATCTATCAAATCCGCAAAAATATGCACATTCAAATTTTAGATCTGATATCATGGCACCAAGAAACGAATTTATTTCGCACTCTGCTATATTTAACAATAATTAAAAAAAGTATGCAAATACTAGAAGTCCTTAAACCTAGTGATCAGTATTGCCCCATCGGTTTTGATCGGTATGGGCCGGCTATGAATAATTTTATTTTCCATCATGTCTCAACAAATAAATTAACTAAGAGTTTTATAACTGCAAGCATCTTTTTACTACATAAGATTTATCATACAACAGGTTAATAACTAATTAAGTAAGATGAATCAAATACTTACCATAACTTTTTTCGAAAACTAAATATTAAAATAGAAATGTTGAAAAACCAAAAACAAAAAATTCTGTTATTAGATAATAACATAATATAAAGAGAACAACAATTTTAGGTTATCATAAAATAAAAAATCATATGCATGATAAATCGGATTTCTACCAATCTTATATTTGAGATTACCTATGTAACCGATTTTAACCGCTGACCGTTCATCATCTCTCACCTAATATATTAATTTTAAAAATAATATAAATGGTTTTTTTTTTATCACATATATGCATTTGACGAACAAATAATTACATGTTCCACTACAAAAGAATAATTAAAAATAAGTATTTCGTTATAATATTATCTTTTTCCACAGCCTCGTACTGTTCCAGCGCAGTGCGTCTTCGTGGTTTAAAAAACTTAAACATTTTTAAATAATTATTATTTAATAATTAAATTAACAAAAAAAAAAAAAAAAAATGTAAGAGTTTTTAATAATTATTATTATAGAACTGTTACATTTTTTTCCTTATAATCAGTATTTATAGTTAGCAATATTATATAATAATTCTTAAAATTTTGAATTTCGGAACCCCAATACATGCAATTTTGTTAAGTGTAAAATTCTAATACTTCCAACTTATCACTAACAATTTTTTAAACCTAGTAACTTTAACATGAAATTAATCACTTCAATAAGCTAAAGAGTTCAGTTGTTATTTATTAAACCCACAAATCTTGTTTTTATTTATTTATGTTTATATACTTGACATAAAAACATCATGTGATATTTAATAGTTTTGGGATATACTTATTTTTGTACACCTAATTTATAAAATTGAACTATCTCAAAAAATTAGCATTGTTATAGTATAAATATATTATTATACAATTTTCAAAAATAATGACATTATACAACATTACGAAAATCACTATATTTGTTATTATCATTATTATATTATATATTTATTAGCAGAATTACATGTTAAAGCACAATTGTGGTTATTATATTTTGTATACATTTTATTATTGTCATTATTTGCAAAATGTATAGCGCAAAATACATTACGATCATGAACGGATGGTAAAAAAGTTAAAATATGATGTTATAAGTAACAGAAACATCACTTCATAAAATATTAATCATTACCAGCTATCTACTTGTAAACTGTAAAACGATTTCGAAGGATGTATACATATTTTTTTTTCTCCAACAATATCATACACGTATCTAAGATGAATTTTTTTTACTGGTAAAATATATTACGAATTTATTTACCTCGATAATAATGGATAACCCACGGGTCCGGTGTTGACGCACAAATCGAGCGAAATTAAAACGGTCCGCACAACCTTTGAATTCAAATCACGTGCATTCGTCAAATGTATGTGCCGGGCGAAATATTAAACACAAATAATACGCGATTCGATAATCCAAAGCGGACGAACGACTCGATACGCAATACATGGGGCGACGGCGGACGGCGTACTGAATTCAAACTTTTTACTCTCCCGGTCGAACGACGCCAAAACGTTCGCTGATCAGCGCATGCCCTCTACAGACAACATCTTTAGATATATTTTGCGGCAAACGTATCGCGCACGATTCACGTGCGAACAAAATAAGCTGAACGATGCAGCAATTAACGCGAGACGTGAGACGTCGAACACGGTCGATGGGTGTTCGTAAAAAAAAAAAACTAAAAAAAAACTCGGAACCATCACCAGTGATTCATGTTAATTTTCGTATCGATTGAGGATATTGTTAACACTTCCGAAATTTTTATATGAACAGGATTCGCAAATATTTCCGTTGACGCACTGACGCAAACGAATGTATTGTTACACCCCCAAATATTACCTTATTCATCGTACATCACCGATTCGTCAAACGTGTTCGTAATGGGTTTACAACTCTCGCCATCATATTCGTAAACTGGAGTACAATTCGAGAACAAAAATAAAAATTAGACTTTTGTCTAACCAAGGTTACCGCGCGGCTGCCCGTCTCATTCCCTTAAAATGTGTGCGTATGTGTGCGTGTGAAAGAGAGAGAGGGGAGAGACATATATGACAATTACCTGTTTTCGACTTAAGTGCGATTCGGCTGAGAATAAGTACGTCCTTACTCTTAACGTTCGGTTGTTTTCATTCACTCGGACACAGTTCTTCTCTCTTTTCTCACAATTTCGTTTAATTGTTTGCATTCGTGTAATCAATTCTAAAGTTTTTCTCTGAACACGTTCATTTTGAGGAATTATATTATTAATTTTGAATACCATTTTTATTTTTATCGCAATTTTCATACGTATTCAGAAGTTTTCCTCCAGGCAAGCGTTTTCCAAGTGTGCAAGATAGTACCTTTATAATGGCAACGCGCCACCGATTGTTATCTAGTTATCCATTGCACTTATTTTTTCTAATCTGTTAAAAAATCATTGGTAAAATCTTTGACTGTCATTATTCTTATAGCGTAGCAATTAATTTATTTATTTTTACGAAACAAAATTTATATTTACAGTACCCGAAAATTATATTCATATAATTTTTTCCAAATACTTGTTCATTGAGATTTCTGAGGATCGAAATACACTCAAAATATATTTGTCTTATCCACATAGTTGTTATATGAGTATTCTATAATATCAAATATCAATCATTCGAACGATATAATATTTACTGTATATTTTTTTGTGAACAATTCAATCATGCGCCATGAAGGCCGTTTGCCAAAAGATATAAGGAAATTGTTGTTATGGAAACGAAAACCAATTTTCAATTGCGAATTACACTCAAAGATTTTTTTTTGTGATTTATGTGATGCCAGATGAGTTTGTTTGAAGATATTGTGGTATTTTGGTATACAGTATTTTGAATTTATAAAAATTATGCAAACCAATTTCTATTGACTTTTATCAGAGGTATTTAAATTATAATTAATATTATGTTTATATGTATCACATAGTGTGAATCCACGAGATATATATTTTTTTTTTTTTTTTTTTTTTTTAGTCCAATACAAATAACATTATGCTCGTAGTATTGGAATTACAGTAACTAGCCAACGTAGCGTTGACAAATAAATATCCGTGGAAACTTTCAACATAGAGGTCTGTGAAATAGTAAAAAATGTACATGTTAATATTCAGAAACACCACAAGACACTCATCATCGTAGAAAGCATCACAGGTAGCTAATAATTTATAATTATTATTATTCAATATAATTTGTTGTATAATATAAAAATATAAACGATTTTGTATACATGATAGACACACTACCATATCATACATATTACCTAAACTCAAATACTTTCCTTTGCCCATCTATGTGTGTAGTGATAAGAATGTCAATATAGATTTTTAATTGATGATGAGTTCGATAAAAATACAACTTATACCTTCACTCTTCATGTCACTCACCTAATGATTTGAATATAGAAGTCCTTATGTTTAATTTTCCCAATTATTATTATTATTTAAATATTAAAATGTCTTTATGATGTTACCAAAATTCACCACGAAATAGAAGCAATACATAACTTCATAACATAAATCATTAATCTGTTGTTATGAGATAAGAAAACCTTCTTAATCAACAAAAATTGTACATTACAATTTCTCTTGTTAACTGTCCATCTGGTATGTATTGTACATCGACAGTCCCTATTCTGTTATTAATATTATATATTTTATTTCGCTGACCGAATTTAATATGTCTATCTCAGCAACAATTTAAATTACCTTATTAATTACATAATAATACTGTTTAAATAAATTGTAAACCTACAAAGTTTCAATAAAAAATAATAAATAAAAAAAAATTATATAATATAATTCAATCTAATAATCTATGTTTATTTTTATTTATTATTATTATTCCTATTGAAATAACTCAAGTTGTAGTCATAACAATAGAAAAAATATTATAAATAACTTTGTATTAAACAAAAAAAGTAGATTTTTTATACTGTATGTATGCAATTGTATAATGTAATATAAATGTATCATTAGTATGAATTTTGGCCGCAATATAATTTAATTAATAATAAAATCATATAAGAGGTTTAAAATGAAAACGTATTTTATTATAACTAACACATAATAAATAAAACACTATATTAACCTTGTATATTCTAGTTGACACAACAAAGCTTTATTATGGCAAGATTATATTATATATTATTGTCCGGCCTATACATTTTTATTTACTTCTGTAAATATAAGAATTGATGATCTGTATATAATACAGTCTAAAATTTTCCACGTGAGGAAAAATGAAACATGGCTTATAATTATGACTGTTGACTGATGAGAATCCATTATTAGTACTTACTGATAAAGAACTGTATATATTAAATTCTTGTATGAACAATATTTTTGAATATTTTATTTTCTGGGTTATGACTGAACTACGAACAAAAATTTTAGTCTTAAAACCAGAAAAAATTTTGCCGAAAACTACGTATGGAGTATTTTATTATATGGCAGTGAAACCTGGACCTTAACATATCAAGATAAAAAAAAAAATCGAAGCAATGGAAATGTGGACCTGGAGAAGAGTACTTCGTATTAGTTGTACTGAAAAGAAGATCAACGAAGAAATTCTCCAAATAGTAGAAGAGAAGAAAGTTTTACTATCCATCATTAAATCAAGAAGCGGAAAACTTATAGGACACTTATTGAGACATAACACTTTCATAACCAACATAATGGAAAGAAGAATCAATGGACGCAAAGGAAGAGGAAGACATTCATAGTAGAGATAATTAGAATGGTTGGATGTAGTAGATATTCACAAATGAAGACTCTGGCATTGAGGAGAGAGGAGTGGAGATCTATTTTCTAACTATGACAAGGCTAAGCATTTGTAAAAGAAGAAGAAGATAACTGAACTAACTTAAAATAATTTAAAATAATGCTAACATTTAGCGTAACGCGAGTTACGGTATTACTATCACAATAACCATTTTTCTTTACTGACAATCATATGCTTTTCTTACTAAAATAATACAACCTAATCAAATATGACATATGTCAACAAAATAACTGTAATTAAAGGAATAACAGATCTAAATTTTCATTCGTGTTCTTACGATATCAAAAGTACCTGATAAATATTTTTGGATTTAACAGTAAAGCTATCAAAATATTTTGAAATCTTTAAACATTCACCGAACAACGCGGAATATTATACAAAAATACACGAAAGAATCCTTTATATTTTAAGTAAATTAATCTCATACATGCCAATATTTATTTTTTTACAAATAAAATGGATAGAAGACTACCAATTTTTTTTTCCTAAATTGATATCTTTCTCTTAAAAAATAATAGATGAATAGTGTGATATAAACAATTGTAATTTTCAATTTTTCATTCAAAAAAAAACAATTTTAAAATTTGTTTAGATTACTTTTTAATAATATTTAATTTACTTATACAAAATAAAAAATGAAAATGTATAACGTATACATTACATTATTTGATATTTAATATAATATACCATAATTATCTATAAGAGTAGGCAAACAAAGATTTTCAGAAACAAATCACAGGTGAGATATTATATACATTATACTTTTATTGCTTACCACTTTCATTGAACTTAACAATAAATAACCTATGTAATGTTATGGCTAAAAAAAATTGTATCGAATCGATTTATTCAGTCGATACATTTTTTCGAATTTCTTCACGGAGATCATATATTTTAATTTAAAATACCAAAAAAATGTATTATCGATGCTCACCAGTTAACTTTAATAAAAATGTGTAAGACTCACTGAACTGAGCGTCATAAAAGTATAACTCGTTTCAAAATGTAATATTAAACCATCATGATTTAAAATAATTAGAAAATTATTCGAGTATTGAAATATCGAAAATCGTGTTTCAATTATCTAATGCCATTTATACTTCGAATTTAGTCATTTCTCTTAATCTGATAGTCCTGACTTTACATCGATTTAATTATTACAAAAAGTTAAAATTAATTTGTTTTATTATTATGAACGAATAGATGATACATCAAATTATAAAGAAAAATAAAAAATTATAATAATAAAGATAACCATTTTAAAATATTTTTTCTAATTACATAAAAACAGTGCTTGAAAATGATATGGTTCTTAAAAATATTGGTCTCCAATTTTTTAGAGATAAGACACCAACTAATTCACTAAAACAGTACTATAAACATACTATGTTTTGCCAGTGTTGTATCATGTTTTTATTCAACTAGGAAATAGTGACAAAATGTATCTGATGAGGATTACCCAAAATGTTTAATAACTACTTTAAATAAAATTTTAAGTGATTCTTATCCAAATATATATTTTCTTTCGACAGCATTAGTTACTTTATCTGTAACAACTGTTAAATTAGAGTGATCGTTTTCATTATTTTAGAACTGAAAACTCATTTAAGAAATAATATTTGAAAGACTGGCTGATAGAATTAGCTCTCAAGAGTATTCAGATTTTGACATTAATATCGATGAAATCATTGACAAATTATCAGACTACTTTAAAAATTATATTTTTATATTTATTAAAACTTACATAATATATAGTTTCATATAGTTATACATTTGTTTCACAAAACAAATATCAGAAGTCAAATATTATAATACCAAGAAAATAATAATTTTTTTGAGAAATAAATAAAATTCAACAGTTGAAATTCTGTATAATTGTTGATTATACTTATATTTAAAAAAGTATACAACCATAACCCCTCCAGGGGCGTAATTATGGAGGGAGATTAGGGGGATGGATCCCCTCAAAAACTTTTTTTATGTATTTATTTTTATTTATTGTATTGTAATAGTATGATTATTATTATTATTATTACAATTACTATTATTATTAAAAATTAAATTATTAAAAATGTTGTTATGGTGGGATGGGGGGTTACTGTATGAGGTATACAGATTTTGCTAAAACCTATAACCCCCCCCCCCCAAACCAAATTCCTAATTACGCCACTGAACCTTTCAACCTACAAATATTTTTTATCTACGTTCTTGTTCCTATTATTCCAAACAACTCAAAAAATTGAAAATGTATTACGTATTCAAATAAACTACTCGAATGGCATGAATTAATTTTAAATGTAATAAAAATATAGACAAAGTAAATTTACAAATTTTTTGTATTGTAAAATATTTCATTATATTAACTCTGTGCAAACATTTTGTAAGCATGTATGTACTTGCTCATGCGTGTGTATGTGCGTGTGTGTGTTTATGTTTGTTTTAATCAATGATATAAATTATAAATATATATATTTTTATATAACTGTGGTCTATACCAGTTATAATTATGTGTATAATATCGACGTAATTTAACAGTTTATAATGAATAATAATCATCATCATGTCGTTTACTATTTTCTGGTAAAAATAATTGTAGATCTACTAAAAATAGTCAGAAACTCGGGTTGTAAGTTTTGGTTATGTTCCGCTGTTATTATTATCAGACCAAGGCGTTTTTGTTTGTTTAAATTATCAAGTTTCAACTTTGAAGATTAAATTTTTTTTTGAACATTTAGCGTGCCAAAATTTTAAGCAGTTGAAACATGATACTGATGGAGCTGATATTATTTTAGCTGAGCACAAAACACAGATAGACATTATAAATATTCAATTTATACAAACTAAAAGGAAGATTACGTAATGCACAAGAACGACACAGAAACAACCGCACTGATTGACGTCTAGATAAGAACAATCTATCTAATCCCTACCTCAACCATAGAACGTCAACTTTTACGTGAAAACTGCAAACTTAAATCCGTCAATTTCATTTCAACAAAACCTTATAAAATAATACGCACAACAAAACTTTTGAGAGACAACAATCCATCTTCATGCCATAATGATTTTAATACGGTTAGGAAAGAGCCGTGATTACTGAAAGAAAAAAAAAAATATTATCCACTATTTCCTAAGTCACTTAATGAAGTAGTTTCTCAACTTAAGGAAAAACCAAATGATTATAGTTGAATGTATTTATAAAGGTAAAAAATGTATTCACATACCAAAAAAATCACCCATTTATATGTTAACTATAGTGAAAAATACAGAATTGATCACGATTTTTACCGACTTTTTTTATCAACAGTACATTTCAGTGCCGAAACATTTTACACAGCTTTATACAATTAAAAAAAGGTCATTATATACCTATAGTTAACTTTTTTTTATGACAAATTAAAAAAAAACGTATATTGACAAGTAAACAATTTTTACTGATTTATGTTTGAAAATTACAGACAAAATATTTAATATAACTAATTTGCACTTGGATTTTGAACTTGGAGCGCATGAAGCGGCAAAAATAGTGTTTTCTGATGTAGATATTATTGGTTGTATATTACATCTGGGATAAGCAATGTGTCAAAAAATAGTGTATTTGAACATATATATATTATATTTTTTTAAAATTTTTTTATAAGAAATCAAATCAGATAGGTCATACATTCTTATATTAATAAACTAACCTTTCTTCTTAAAGCAAAACTTGTGTGAAGGTCAGGAGTTTATGAATGGTGTAGGTAGTAAATTTATAAATACAGTAGTTATATACTCGATAGTTCAAAATAAAAGGGACCGAGCTAAAAATTCGATTTATAGAAGTTTTCGTATTACCGAGTGTTCGAATAATTGAAGGGAAAAAAATGTATTCCAATTAAATAAAGGTGAATAATTGTATTTATCTATAAATATTATTTATAAAATTTATTTATCATGTTATGATATGTAATATTATTACATATTAAATTGTTACTTATGATCACCTTATTTATTACCCACACTATTGCAATATTTATATAAGCCGATTTTTTTATAGGAAAACTTTTAGTTTTTCTATAATTTTGTAATATAGACCCTTCTAAATAATATTTATAAAAGCATATCCATATGATTTGATTTTATTGTAATTACAGAGGTTTTAATGAACTCTGAATTAGACTAACACAACATTTAATACCATATTGATAGACTGCCCGATACAATGAAATATATATAATAATATTAAATGGAAAAATATTTTTATAAGTTATATATATAATATGGATAAATTATAAGGATATAATTTTGATTAAATCTTTAATTTGTTTGGATAAATAACGAAAATAAACTTTTGAATGCATACAAATATCTGATGATCTAGGGAAGTGGCTTAAACCGATTCTTGTTTTTTAATTTTTAAATCATAAGAAAATAGAAGATGCTTTTTTAGAATTAATTACTATTTGATCCAGTGAAGAAATTTGACAAATTTTTTTCAGATTTTGTCTTGGACAGTTATACAAACCGTTAAAAATGAAATTATAGACAATGAAACCGTTGAACAATAGTAGTTAACTTTCATAAAATTATTAATATTTATTAATATTATTTATTTATTAAAATTATTTTAATATATTAATTATAGTTCATAACATTCTAGGACTACGAAGATCGCTAAAAACGTTCACAGAACATTCAATAGCCAATTTT